GATCTACTTATGTCACTATTTGGAATAATGTTACGGTTCAGAGAAAATAGAATAGCCGTAATAGCAGACATAAAAGATATGTTTTTACGAGTCAAAATTCGCCCAGAAGATCAAGACGCCTTGCGATTCATTTATAGAGGCAACCCTAATAAAGATTTTAATTCAGAAATGTTAAACGAACCGATTAGAACATTTGTGATGACGTCATTAATATTCGGCGCTAACTGTTCGCCGTTTATTGCTCAATTTATTAAAAACAAAAATGCAGAGCGCTTCGAAACTGCTATGCCTGCGGCTGCTACAGCTATACGAACCCAACACTACATGGATGACTATATAGATAGTATATCGGATGAACAAACTGCTATTCAATTAGCAAAAGACATTATGTCAATTCATTCACAAGGGGGATTCGATTTATGTAACTGGAATAGCAACAGCGCAGAAGTACTAGATAGCTTACCGGAAAAGTCACTCGGGGCGGCAGCTGTAAAGTTCAAATTGGGACAACAACACGACGGGGAACGTACTCTGGGACTTATATGGCATACGAAGGATGACACATTAAGATTCGATGTTTCCTTCAAGAAAATACCTGTAAATTTAATGAGCGGGAACAAAATACCTACTAAAAGAGAGATGTTACGTGTAGTAATGTCCATATTTGACGTTTACGGATTTTTATCGCCAGTTACCATTAATGGAAAAATAATATTACAAGACACATGGCGTTTAAAAATCAGCTGGGATGATCATGTTAACGAAGAAATATATTTAAAATGGCTTAAATGGATTGGCTTATTAAAATCATTACATAATGTGCAGCTGCCGAGGTACTATCCGATAGCAACAATGATTGCAAGCAAAGAAGAGAGTGATACTTGTTTACGATCTTTACCGCTTTGTGAAACGACGCACGAAGTTAGAAACACTAAGAATACGGCATCTTTGTATGGAAATTTACAGATGCATATTTTTTGTGATGCCTCTACGAAGGCGATCTGCGCTGTTGCTTACTGGCGGTGGATTGATGAAGAACTAAGACCGCGCGTGGCATTCATCGCTAGTAAATGTCGAGTAGTAGGAATTAAACCTATAACTATGCCGCGCTTAGAATTACAGGCTGCCGTGTTAGCAGCTAGATTAGCGGATATAATAACAAATGAGCATAAAATGATGGCAGAATCGTTATAAATATAATTTCTATACTAATATTATAAACAGCTAAAGTCGCTAACTTTGTTTGTTTGAAGCTACATCATATGCGGGCGACATACATAGTCACAAAAGTTACGAAGTCGCTGGAAAACATCTAATTAGTGATAATTATCCGTTTGTGTATTGTTTTATTTTAATCTAAACTTTTACCAGCCAGATCCTTAGTGTTTGATATGTAATTAAAATACAGTTCTGGTTTTTATTTAACAAAATCGTTTTTTTTCCTACTGAATGCATGATTGTTTTGATAAGTAATTCTTATGGTGTATCAAAGTGTCTCTTCAGAAGGTACCGAGCAATATCATTTCGAGTCTCTAATGACCGCTTAATAGTGAGCACTAGAATTTCGTCCATTGGGTTCACGTAAATGGCTATTAACTAGATTTATGCTCTAACTCTTTATATTATTTAGGTTAATTGCTGAATTAGTAAACGAAGGTAATAAATAGAGAGCCTATTAATTAACGAGCTAACAGAAATGGGACTTCATTAAATAAACCGACACTTGGATGGTTTCTAAAGTGCGCGTGTATCCCATTTTAGATATTTATAATCCTTTGCAGGGTCCTTGGTCATTTTCCCTTTAATTTTATATTATTATTAACGCTTTTACAATTTTTTTTTTGTAAGTAGATATGGTATTACGACGTCATGATTCAAACTGTGCTCAAAGAACATTGGCAATTTTGGTGTTTGTTGACGACATCTCTACCAGCCTCTCGAGAAAAGTGTAGTTTTTATATATATCTACATACAGTATTTTTTAATTTGAATATGTCTTTTGTTACTTATTGTTGGTTCTTTGCCTGTCTGTCGCTCTGTGTATCTTGGGTGAATTTACATATTTTTTAAAAATACATTGTTTTCTGTACTAATTTAGTCCTTTTATAAATATTACTGTTGAGCATAGGCCACCATTGATCTCCACGACGATCGGTCCTGTGCTGCCCGTATCCAGCGGCTTAACACAATCTTTATAACATCGTCCGTCCACCTGGTAGGGGACCTACCCACTAAACTTCGTCTTTTATTGGAGTGTTGTAAATACTGATCCCAAACTCAGCAGAACTTATAATTTACGACTATGGCGTATACGGTAGGGGAAAAAGTGTCTTCGCATTTAATATGAAAATTTAAGAATTGTTAAACTACTACTGGTTGAAAAAATGTTTTACGTCGAATAGTTTTTAAATAAAAAGTTTTTCTTTTCTTCACAGAAGTTTTCTATGTTTTCATATGTCGTAGACCAAGCGCACACTGGTGATTTTTTGTAATCGTTAACTTTTGTTTTTGTCACCGTACTCCTGATATTTGTATGGAAATCAAGTACACACGCCACCGCAAGAATTGTCAGGCTCGGTGAAGCACAGGACACAACAAGTCACAGTGGTAGAAAGTCGTCAGGGCGCACGTAGACTTACTTAGACTGTGATTCGCAGTTGAATGTTTTTTTAATTTATAAAATTATTATGTTTACTACATTTTTACTTTTAAAAGTAGTCCTGACTACGTTAATTATGAATAAAGAAAATTCTAACTATAACGTAATTTTTCGTTTTAGCCTAGTGTTAATATGATATGAAATAATCTTCTTTACTTATTAAAACTTATTTGTTTTGATTACAATTTCATATTATTCATAGTATGTAAGTATAAGCGTCGTATAATAGGTTTTATTTTAACCATTTGGGTGTTGAAAATGCATGAAAGCGTGATATCATTTAAATTGCAAATTAAGACGCTTATATATTTTGCACATTTGGGATCTCACTTTAATGCGATATGCATTGTGATTAATTATAATTATGATGAAGCTCAGTAGCTCAGTAGAGCTTAATTATTATATGATGATTGGCTGTTGCGAGAGAAATTTATTTTATAAGTTTTTATTTAACTTGCAATGTATGTATGTATCATCATACATCATTAAAGGTGACATAGTTATTTTGTCGTGCAATATTGTGATGTGGGTATCAAATAAAACGGTTTTTTGAAAAATCCAATAAGGTGGTATCCTTCTTGCCATCTTTGGCGAACTAGTTATTTTTAAACACTCTAATAAAAAATGGGGATCAGACATGTATCAAGGAAAGAGTTCGCAAACAGTTAGAGTATTAATTTTATAATGTGTTAGAAGTATACATACAATAAGCAATAACAACTGGAGCAAAGTTACACCACCTCTAGGCCAGAGGGCTGAGTGTCGATATCATGGACGTAGTCGTAATAGAGAGAGATAAGAGATAACATAGCTAGAGAGATCTAAGTCGCTGACAGAATGAACGATCTTTACCGTTTTGTTTACAAATTTGATATACAATTATCTAGTAATTATGTTGTGTTTCAATACGAATAAAATACTAAATTTATTTTAAAAATACTATAATTTAATTTCTAATAACATATCGCACACCTAGATCTAAACTAAAACAACTCAAAAAACTAATGTGGAGGTCTGACAATACATTTGTTTACGTGGCGGGAGCGCGACCACTGTTGAATCAACAAAAGAAAGCTAAAGTTATCTAGCGGTTCATCCCCGAACCTTTATTGAATCTGTTATGTTGGATAGATGCGTATGATCACAGAGTACTTGAATATTATACTTAGTCAAAACTCACTCAAATTTTTGAGTTGTCTCAGTTTAGATCTAGGTGTGCGATATATTCAAATTATTTATGTTAACTTAGTGATATTTTGGAAAACAAATCATAAGAGGGAAACACGCATTACACTTTTTTTTAAATTTATTGTCGCTTAGATATTTCGTCTTTTGGCTTAAGTAAATCGATGATTCTTTTTAAGTGTAGAATAGAAAAAATCAATAAATACAAAATAGAATGGAAAGTAGCTGAAATATCTGTTGATAAAAGTGAAGCAACCGCTGCTGCTTTCACAATAATAAATTTGTCCCACTGACATGTAAGAAATATCACCATCTTTTATTTTGTTTTCATTACTCATTCTTTCTTCGGTTTATCTGTCAAAACTATGCTTATCATTCATTCAAATTCCTTCGGCGTCATTCAATACGTTATTAAAATATTACGATGTCCCATCCTATTGCTAGAATCATGGTTAGACAGAAAGGGGGTCCTCCATTAGATTTGCAGGCGCCCCAAGGGTCCAATTGTCTAATTTTAAAATCTATCACATCCCTTTCAATTTGACATTTAAAAGATATTCACAGACTTAATGTTCTAAATATTTAGCATGTTATAGCAATTGCGACCGCGATTTCATTTTTAATATGATATCATTAATTTGACGTCTATTTTAATTGTCTAAGCGAAGTGATAAATACTAAAAAGCTATTGAAATCTCAAAGGAAAAAGTTGAATGTAACCTTTCAACAGGTTTAATTTAAGTTTCTATCATGTTTCTTAATCATTCATATCATGAATCTTGCGACGTTAAAAGTTATATAATTTCATAAATCACTATCATAATATCTATTTGAATATATTTGAAGGATTTTAAAATTAGACTTAGCCCACAGGCAACAGTTGAAATTTAACAATAAGGCCGCGCACAAGTTGTGTGTTGTCGTGTTCGTGCGAAACTTAATTAATTTCAAGTAAGGGTAGTCTCATCATTCGGAGAACGTAGTTAAACGGTTGTTGTCAACTTCGAAAACTAAAATCCATTAAGGGTGCGCATAGAGGTAAAGAGAAAACCAGACGAAACCGCAGGCCAATTCCACTATTATTATGCAAGAGTGGACCCTGCTATGACGATCGATCGTTAATATTTTTTGTATGTCAATGAATGAATTTAATAAAATGCTCAACTTTTTCGTATGTATATTTAAATATATAATTTAAAGAGGTAAGATTTTGTTTGCGTCATATAGTTTAAAATTCTTTCACCTACGGGAAGGGTACATATGCAAATAACATGGATTATAATTTACACGCTAGTTTAAAATAGCTAGTTTAAGTATAAAAAGCATTTTATTAATTATAGTTAAATTTCATGCGACTAAAATACTTCACTGGATCTTGTCGTTGTGTTATTTTATTGTATCGAAAATAAAAGTAAAACTTTCTCATTTCAAGTTACAATAACATTATTCATTTGTTTTGTTCACAATAAATTTAATATTGTCTTTTCCTTGAGGCGTTCTCTTAAGATGACACACGTAGATCCCAACATCATATAAGCTTTATACGACACCAATTTCAAATACTTAAGCGCGTCTAGAGATTGAAACGTAGAGATTTAACCACGCTGTTATCCTAAAGTAGTTGAGATGAGAGTCTTAATTCTATTAGTTTCATTATAGATATCACATATATCATTACATATATCTTAGAATTTAGCTTATATTTAGAAATTGAGGTTCTCACAATAAAGTCTTTTATTTTATGTGATACGACAGAATTGGCAAGACATTTATACTTTATTCGCTTACTTAAACCTAGCATACAAACGTTCATTAAGATTTAATGAAGACTTTAAGCTCTAATGAATGCTTCAAAATTTGTATGCGTAATGTAACATTAACCTAATGACGATTTTAATGAATGTTTGTGCAATTAACTGTGAATTGTAACTGTGAATACTAAATTTCAACCCTGACCGGTTTATTTAAACGGAAGACGTTTTACAGACGACTTTAGTATCAGATTTAAGCCATTACCGACCAAATAAGTCAACACGTCACAATTTGAAGTTTTCTCTTCTGTGATTGACAATTAACTTTATTATTTGTATATATTAAGTATTATTCTTACTCTAGTTTTTGTTCCATAATAAGACGGAATAACAATGCCTTAGGAAAATACTTTCTTTTTTTATTTTTAGATGAACTAAGTAATTATAAGTAATAAATTTGTTTTGATTAAATGCAGTTTGTATCGTCAAACCATACACAAACAAAACGATCCTCATACTTTTTGTACTCTCAGGTATGGAACCCTAGACACAGACCGCCAAAGAAAATTCGTCAAAGAAAATGATCAACCAGTTTTAGCAAAAGTTTCTGTGAGTTCAGATGTTTAATTATGACGTGTCATCTGTTATCTGAGATCACATTTGAACTAATGGCATGGCGTAGACTAATGTCATGTCATATATCTATTGCGAGCGGTAAAGTGACCTTGTTGTTTCATCAAATTAATCTTAACCGAAGGGTAATGGACCATACCCATTTTTTATATATTTTTTTTATTTATACATTATTATAGTATAAAGTACAACATTGTTTAGAATTAGTCCAACAAAACCGTATAAACGGCTTGACTGCGGAATCATGAGCCTCATCTAAAGAGAATCATATGTCATTATCGATGAGTTAAACTTATTTTTATCAATCTCTTATCTAATGTCCGCGGGAAAACTTTTTAGTAAATAGAGTAGGCGCTTTATTGTTGTTCTATTACCGTAATAATTATTTACCCTAGGCACCTCATTTTTGCCCGGGGCACCGACCGCGTTACATATTTATATAAAATTTAACATGGATAACTCAAGCTCTCCACTGCCGTGGTGATTAGTTGCTAATAAGTATTTATGTTTCAAAGCAGCCGGATGTATTTTGCATATTTTAAACAATTTTCTATAGTCCCTCTAACAGTTACCTTTTGTTTTATTGTTTACATTATACATTATGGAATGCAATACATAAATTGAATTGAATTAAAGAAGTAATTTCAAAAATCTAGTTTGAAGTGCTTCAATCTTATCTATATTTGTTTTAAAAGTCAAGCCCTAGCAATTAAGAGCGTAACGAATAATTGAAATGACTAGGCAATATAAAGACATTTCAATGTATCTTTGGGTTTATTGAAAGTGTGATATTAAAAATTTCCTAACAATATTATTGTTATTAACTCTTTCACTGGGTTTACATTTACAGTTATCGAATTTATCGTAAAATAATAATTAAAATCGTGGGCAAACACACAGGCGAGTGGATCCGTTGGACTAAGGTGGGGCGACTCGTCGTCTATGCAATTGTTTTAAAGCAGTACTTAAAAACAAATGCATAGATGTCATACGAAACACTTGCTCCGGTACAGACAAAAATGCTGGTTAAACCTGATTGAAGCTTTTAACTCTTAAAAAATTAGAAATAATTAACGATAGCAAAATCTACACCAAAGTTTACCTGAATTTAAAAGACTTTTATATATCGAATCACATGTTCGATGTAACTACTGCATTGAAACTCGATAACACTCGACAGCAGTGAAATGCTGTTATCGACACAATTGGCTACGATGTCAATATGTTTTTGAATACTTGTGTGATTTAACATACAAATACACGTTTTGGTTTTAACATCTGTCAATAATACAAATGTGTTGAAAGCTCTATCAGTAAATGTTTTTCCTGTGGAAGCTAGGTATCTAGTCCTTAAAATTTTATGCTATTTTTTATATATTATGAACTTTTTTATAATGCTTTGGGCAATGGCAAGTGTTGTGTATGCTTTTGTTATTTCATATTTCTATAATACAAGTGCTTATGCTGCCTTATTTGGAATCTGAGCAATCTATATGATGCAATCAATTTCTTGTTATTAATACAAATGTTTGCATCCTATTTAACCTGTGAAAATATCCTAGTACCTCTCTATGTAATAAGTTCAAGTCTCTATGATCAGTGGTTTAAGTGTATTGTCTATCAATCTGTATGTCAGGACAAAGTTTCTTATAATGTAAGATTATAGAGAGGCAATATTGCATTGGTTGTTTTGTTTTTTTTTTATGTTATTTTAATATTGTTATTGTATAAACTCGAAAACTTCCGAACCTCTTTTAAAAGTTCTTAAACCGACATAAATCTATACTATATTGAGTTATATAGGCTATAATATTTGATTAAAAAAGTAACACTGACTTTGAAGAGTCAGCTCACTCACTGTAATATGAAGAAACCGTTTTCCTTATCCATCCATTTTCCTTATTTAAGCCACGATCCAAATTAAGATGTAAAGTAAATAAACAATAAATAAATCTACATTAATCAACATTACACGAACCAAACATGATGTGATATGAAGGCATTGAATTTATGTTAAGAGGGTGCGTCCACCCCAGAATCAGTAACGTTCAACTAATTTTGCACAAATAAATAACGTCTAAATAAGCTATAATTAAAAATATTAAACTAATGCCCGATTTCACTAAACTTAGTAGTCGCCCAAACCTGTCGCCTAAATATTTAGGAATCGCCTAAGGTAAAAATGCATTTCACCATTGACTAGGGACCACCTTACGTAATTAAGCAATGTCTAAAGTATGCTTTCATTAAGTGGCGCCTTGCGCTAAGTATTTGCGTATTTGACTGGTCATTAATATATCAACGTGTCAACGTGTCTGCATTGAGGATTCTTTTTCCTCCTGGTGCGACAGTTGTGCTGGTGTACCACAGGGTGGCGTCTTATCTCCTTTACTATTTGCCATATTTATTAATTCTGTCTCCAATAAACTTCTTTCATCATACCACCTTTATGCAGATGACTTACAAATTTATTCCCAAGCTTCTCTGGATAATTTGGCTTCGGCAGTTGATAATATAAACTCAGATTTAGCTTTAATCAGTGATTGGAGTGTTTCTTATGGTTTAAAAATAAATCCTTTAAAAACACAGGTAATTGTGGTGGGTGGTCCTAGCTTGGTATCTAAAATTCAATGGTCGCAATTGCCGCCTATTACATTCGGCGGTGTAAGATTATCATATAGTGACTGTGTTAAAAATCTGGGAGTGCTTCTTGACAAAAATCTATCCTGGGTACCACACATTCAGGAAGTAAGTCGCAAACTGTTTGCTTCGGCGGCATCCTTAAGGAGACTTAGGAATTTTTTACCTATTGCTACTAAAATCACGCTAGCGCAGTCTCTCCTCTTACCAATTTTAGATTATGCCGACGTCAGCTATCTTGATCTCACTGAAGAGCAACTGAATAAACTTGAGCGACTTCAGAACTTCGCAATAAGATTCATATTTGGATTACGTAAATATGATCATGTATCAAAATATCGTCAAGAGCTCAAATGGTTGCCTATTCGACTTCGCCGGAATGCTCACATAGTTTCTTTGTTATATAATGTCCTATATAATCCTGCTTCCCCTGCTTATCTTAAAAAGCGTTTCCAATTTCTTAGTAACACTCACTTCCGTCTCTTGAGATCAGCGGACAACCCGAGACTTGCGATGCCTATGCATTCATCTAGAGTGTTTGACAGGTCCTTTACTGTACATGCCGCTCGTCTGTGGAACGAGCTGCCGGATGCTGCGAGGCGTGCTCAGTCTTTAAATATTTTTAAAAATTTAGTTTCAGAATACTATCTTTCACGTGCTGTAGGTACATCCAAATAATATTTATTGTAGATAATATTAAATTTCTGTAAGTTACAAAAATTTTTGTATGTGTGTATGTGTGCGTGTGTGTGCGTGTGTGTGCGTGTGTGTGTGTGTGGGTTGTGTGTATGTGTGCGAATTAATTACATTGTGTATTTATATGTACAAACTATACTTTGCTCAAATGCACTGCCCTAAATTGTTTTGTATCTAATTTCCTTTTTGCGGTTGCCTGGAAGAGATCGCTTTTAAGCGACAAGGCCGCCATTTGCTTCGCTATCTGTGTATCTTGTATGTTCTCCTTTGTTGAGCAATAAAGTGTATTATTATTATTATCAAGAGATAAAGGAAAAAATATTTATTTGAAATTAAAGTAATTTACTTAGGTTATTCGTAATATTAGGCGTTTCCTAGTTAAGCTATGCCTTATTCTTACTTAGGTTAGTAAAAATACGTGTAATCATATTTCCAAAGGGTTTTGTCACAGCCAAAACGTGAATTAATAAAATTTTCTTTATAAAAAACTACTTTGTAATTTTGCTCTCTTATAGGTAATTTTTTATAGAGAATTATGTTGCACTATTACAATAATCGTAAATAATCGTAATTCACAGATTGCGATTAATTAATTTCCATACATCGTTTCTGCTATACAATTCACTATCCTCTGACACTATCTCATCTTTAGGGCGCCCGCGAATTTAGTAGAACAGTGAACAGAGAAGCTAGGCGAATACGTATAATTTGAAGAATATTAGTAAATATTCTTCAAATTAATAAATATTACTCTTTGTCGCTCAAACGTATAAAGAAAATTTAACATTAGATTTCTTAACATGAGGGTGTGCTATAATAGGGATCTCTACCTTTTCGCGGAAAATTGTTTTACCGATTATTGATTTTGCCAAATAATCAACAGTCAATTTATCATATAATTTTATTTGAATTTCCCAAACTCACCACTACCAACTGTACTTTGATGTGCTTTTATAAAGATACTTTTCAAAATGCCAACTTTAAGCAGATAACAGCAAAATTTTTTAGTCAGCATATTTTCATTAACTTGTTTATTGTTTACCAAATGTTTTATTAGTTAAATCGATAAGGGTTAAATCACAGTCAACCTTATACACTGCTCCTCTCTTACGTAATCATTATTATGACCGTATGATCTAGACTAACCTGTTTCCTTTTACAGAAGCGATTCGATTCTAGTTTTGTTTTTTATGACAAACAATGCATTTTTTGACATATTATAACTCTGTTTTTAATACACTTATACAATAATTCTATCAAATGAAACTTTGTCATATAAAAATTTGCTTATCGTTAGTTGTCAAAGTAAAATATAGGCGAAACCTAATGGGTGAAACATTGGTGGCAAGTGATAATCGGCGAAAAGACAGCATCCTATACTTAACGGTATTTGGCTAAAGTCATCGTACAAATAAGAATGATTTCATGCAAGATATATGTAGTAGTCATTCCTAAATTGGGATCCGTGACCATTCGTCAGAGTTCCACGAAATTATTTATTTTTATAACTCATCAAAAACTATTTGGTAAGAAATTAGCGAGAATTCAATTTCATTCATCACATTAAAAGTTAATATTAAAATAAACTGTTTAATAAAAAACTGTTTTTATTCTGATATAGTTACATTATGGGTTTCAATAAAATAATAGATGTTTAGTATTCTAAACGTTTTAGCATTGTAAAGCTCAGTTTAAATAATATGTTTTTGAACAATATTAGCTATAAATAACATTTATATTTTTCTAGTGAGATAATCTATAAAATATTAACCACGCCCTCTACTATAAACCAAATAAGACCTAAAATATATTTAATTTTAACTTTATTATAAATTATATAAAAACATAGGTATGCTGTTGCTAGGTTAATGCGCTATATCACCCAAGGCTTCATCACCACTTACCATCAGGTGAGATCGTAGTCAAATATTAACATGAGGGCATTTGGATTCGGGTCTGGATTTTTATAGAATCGCAGAGCTGTAATTAACGTGAATTAGTATGCAAACCAGCACCGTGCTACACACCTGGCCATTTTAATGTGTTTATGCTTTAATCCAATTATGTTATTTAATGTATCTTTCTTTTTCAGTGCACCAAAATTATATAGGAGTAGATGGCGGAAGAGAACCTTACTTACTGAGTGTTGTTCAAGAAGGAGGCGCCGGCCTTTTACGGGCTATACTTTTCAACAAAATGGTCAGTAATAAATTGTTAGTGCGTAAGTTGCTGATTGGGAGGTTAAAAAATTAGATATCGAAATACTCCAGACGCATTGCAGCTGAAAAACCACGATATGTAATATTTTAAATACTATTTTATTTTAAAATACTGTACGAATAAAAACAATTTTAATTTTATCCACTGATGTGCTAGCTAGACGTGGGTGAAACGGACCCTCGCCCAGGACCTTCTTTCACAAAAATGTCTTATAGAGCTACAAGACTTACGCACGAAAGGGATTGCACCCTGTTTTACTACCTTAAAAAGATTATTTTCGTCTAATTGACAAAAAAGACTAAAAATAATCTGAAATATACTATGATCACATGATACCTATTATGTATAGGTATATGAAATTACTCTTTAAGTTCTTGTTTTATATAAGACAGAACAAATCCATTATATAAATTTTGAGATAAGACATTAAAAGGTTCCCAATAATTATATTTTTCAATCACTAAGTAATATGTATAATAACATTGTGAGCGTTAAAATACGTAGTTATTTTATACTGGATAATTATTTTAGTTTAGTTCTGGTCAGGGGCGGATCCAGACATAATATATTTTTAAGTCTGGATCCGCCCCTGACCAGAAACGCCCCTTGTGGTCACAGTCACTAGAAAACAGGTCGAGTGTAAGTCGAAGTATGAACTCCTACTCAAAGCAATGCATTTTTTAGTATATGGGCAAATGACCCACGTGGGCAATCAACCATAGTACATCATGATAATGTGACGTCACAACTCTATTAAGGTTGTAGCCATGTTCATCATGTCACATAGGTGTATTTGGTCTTGGTTCTGATTTTCATTTTAACAAGAAGTTTTATTTTTAAATTATGTGTATTAATTTGTAGGGCGCACATAAGATATATCTGCCACCTAGTGCCTGGAACAGCGGTGGCGGACAGGCACCCACTAGGCCGACAATCAAGCAGATCCTCGCACAATTTCCAGCTATGGAAAGACTAGATAAGGTCCCTAGAGAGGTGAATACCATTAAGTTTATTTATATCTATGTATTTCCTCCTATAAATATTTACTATCAATAGCAATAACACATCAACTAAATTTTAAAAGTATATTATCAAAAGAAAAAATAACACAAAATACTAGATCTGGGAATGAAAAACAAAGTTATATGGTAAACAAATTCCAAAGGGAATGCTCGTTTAACGATCTTCCAACACAAGCTAACAAGTAAACAAAATTAATATCGCCGTGTCTTTAATAATGGACAAAACAAACATCATTACGATAGCAATCTCGATATTCATAAATCGAATTCCAACGGTTATAAAGTTCATGTCTTATAAACAAAAGTTAACGGCTTTCATATAATTTGTTGCTTTGTTGCTTGATACTTATTAGGTACGAAATATTTATTTGTCCATCAATTTATACATAACATAAATAAATTCGTATTTAGATACAGTACATAAATATTACATGGAAAATTACTTAACTATAACGAGAGTAGACCATGGGATTGATATATTGGGATTAATAGATTGTGTACTATTTGCAAAATTACCTTGCTTGCTTTCTTTCTAGATTACATGCGCAGAACTTCAAAAGGATATACTTTTATTAGAAGAGCAAGAAGGATCCGTTAATTTCAAAATAGGCGTAATGCTCATGAAGCCTGCTCAAAAAACAGACGACGAAATGTTATCAAACGGTAAGTTACATTTGTATTCTAACGTACAATAAGAATGAACTTTATTGATGTTCACAAAAACTTCAAATTGTCTGTTTTATCTAAATATCTTAGATTAACATCTAAAGTCACGAAAAAATATATCTAAAAATAGTTTTAATTTGTCGAACTACTATCAGTTATATCGTTTAGCGTTTGCATTACACCCTAAAGTCACATTAAAATATTTTTATGAGAGGTCATCAAACTGTCGGTGGCTTTCAGAAAAAGGCGACGAGAAATGGGAACGATTTATTTCACTTTTGGGCGACAAAATTCGATTACGGGGATGGAACCGGTTCCGAGGCGGACTCGATGTCAAAGGTAAAACCCATTTATGTTGCCCACACAAAATATGTTATACTGAATTTAAAATATCCATTCTGACGCATACGAGAAAATATATCGAAAGTTTCAAATATCTGTACTTAGAATGATATTGTTTATTTAGAACCTTTATAAATATAATCAAGAACACACCAGATAAGTAAAAGAAAAAAGGAAATAAAACTATAGTTTATAGTAAAACATATATTTGTATTTTATCATAAACAAAATGAAAAATAATGTTAAGTTTTAATTAAATATACTAGTAAACTGGTATCTATTTACGTTTTACTTTTGCTTTTTTTTATAATCTAGTTAACAAGAAGTTAAACTGTAATTTATGTATTGAACTCAAGTGTCCAATTTAAATTGAAATGACATTACCGATACTATTCAAATTTAGAACATTATAGATCTCAAAGTCGTTATCAAACCTTATTGGGCGTTTGTGCAACAAACCGTATATCGAACTACTATAAACAAAACCGCTTTGATAAAAAATAACTGTTTGAATCGTACGTGATAACAACGTCCAATTATTGCAGGTGACATGACGGGTAGCCATTCTATCTACACAATGCACCAAGGACACGAGATAATGTTCCATGTGTCTACAATGTTGCCGTTCTCCAAAGACAATAAGCAGCAGGTACATAAACTGTACGAGACATCTTTGTTATTCGGATACCAATTACGTCGTTGAACTTGATTTATTCATTCTAATCGAGATATAGAAATATTGCGAATATTTTAGAAGTACTCTTCTGAAGTATAGTATAGTAGGTATCCGTGAATTCACCAGCAGGCCTACCGCGTTCGATTTAATTAGCATGGGATTCAATAATATGACACTCAACGTTCATTATTCTACAGCGCTTAATATTGAGTCGAAACCAATAAAGTTACTGAATAGGCCTGCAGGTCCGGATGGGTGGATCCACCTTCGTGGAAGGTATCTCACATACCGCTATTGCTCGCGGCGAAGCATGTGAGACCCATTCACCCTGCGATACAAATTGGGTAAACGCCCCTGCTAAAATACGATTTAACCATCTCTAATGCACGATGTAAATTCATAAAATTTGTACAAGCACCATTCGTATTCGCACAAAACCATTTCGTACTGTCCTGTACATAATACCATTAGTCATGATCATGGCATTAATGACATCTAAAAATGTCAAGATTAATCTGTTACGGTTATAGGATCTCTGCAACAGATAGGATTCCAAATTAAAGCGACAATTAAATTGTGCGGTGAAGCAACAAAAGGCCATTTATTTCAGTACAGTATCCAACTTCCCTAACCAACAATTTTGAATCGGATTCAATAACTTCCCTCACTCACTCGTAAACCCGAATCCAATAGATGAACCGCAAAAGGAACTTTTACTAAATAAATCAAGCCACAGTCAAGCCTTGCCAAGATACAAGACAGAGTGTCTTGAGCTCACTCTATCCAATTGTAATCCCTATGAGGTCGGATTTATGGGTCCCAACATGTAACAATCTGAGACTTAATATTGAGCAGAGTCTCGTATTTGAAAGAAAATATAATTTCTACTTAATTTGAGATAGATAAACTCGCAATACAGTTTCAGAAGTTGAAGTACCGCTACTTTAGATTAAATGACAATACTGTAATTTTCAGAGCAAATGCTACGAAAGCTACGTTTTGTCACGCTACTACGGCGTCACCTCGTAGCACGTCTTAGCGCGCCGTAGTACATCTTTAACGCGTCGTAAAGACGTATACGCATAGTAAAGTTAATCATTATTTTTATTCAAAGCGATTTAATTTATAAATTATTTCTTAAACAATGTACAATATATCAGATGATTTAATTTATTATTATTCAAGAAAGTATCACAAATTCGATACTCGCACATTTGGGGACCGTTGAAACTTTTCATATATAAACCTTTTTTATAGTTAACGGAAGTGACCTCAATAACCACAAAACATAAAATTTAAATACGTTTTGTAAAAATCAACTTTAAGCCATATATTAAAATTTAACAAATATTAATCATTTTGATAACCCAGAGATCAAGATGCCATTATACTGAAACTGGCTGTTTTCCCGCAACTTTGCCCGCATCAATTATAACCTTAGTAATCAGAGTGTAATGTAGGTTTCCGTAGGCAAAATAATTTTCACGGACAAAGTTTCTAACTTTGCCTCTTCATAATATAAGTATAGATGAGAAAGACCACGCGACCTTATATTTTACGAATTAGTTTTAAGAAAATATACAATTCACTCTTAAACACAATTAAGTAATTTAGTAAATAAAAAATGTTTCCATTATAATTAAATTAATTTCTATTCCTAGTAAGTAATTTGTAAGTTTTAAGATCGAACAGAATTTTAAGCCCTCAAATAATGACTCAATTACACTTGTCTCGAGTATTATAAATAACTTCTATATTATATTAGTCATTTACGTAGTTGTATATCGAATATTTGAATTACAGCTAACTAGCTTTACGTGTATTTAAACTTTCTAGTCAATGTGTTACTGTTTTCTAAACATTATATTTGTTTGTATATTTCCGCTATACCTGAAATTTGTATGATATCGTGAATTGCGTTGGTGTGTGATATTCAAACATTGTATTGTTGTTATATAAAGTCGAAAATAGCCAAACTTTCTCTTTATATAGTTATGCGAAATATGTACCCGCCTATTAAAGACGAGGAATAACTTTAGTGCCAGATTTAAACCATTATCCGACCAAATTAAGGCATCGCTTCTCAATTTGACGTCTTCTGTCACTGTAAATTTGCTTTAGGCAGCCAATTAATCCTTGATATGCTCGCGAGACACGTTACCGCATACCAAGGGCAAGAAATAACCTTATAATATGATTGAATATCTCTCAATATACTTATATCCAAGACTAAATAAGTACTTGATTTAACATTGACATTGCCAGAAGAGCAAACGTCTAATTGGCACGCGTTGACATATTTTATAAGGATAATTATTTAAACCTAAATAGCGACCGCCTAACTTACTAGACCAGCACGCGTAGCATGACAAACTCGAGAAACGCTTTGTCTACACTCATTTGTCAGTTTCTCGGGTTGAGAGTGAGATATCGTATGAGCGCACCCGAGAAGAGTGACATTTGAGGGTAGAATTACGACATCTTAGCGAAGTTATAGCGATTATTACTTCGCCATGTCATTGGTTAGTAAATTCATTAACATCATTGTTTATCATTCGTTTATCGTTATTGCTATGAACCTCACATGGCAAAATAGTTAAAGGAAAAGTAATTTCACCTTAACATAGCTAAGATATTGTATTGTATTCTATGGCTGGAGTCATGCCTTGAGAGTAGACTGTCGCACCTCTGGTACTAAAGTTAGTCGTTTTATAATAAGATGGGTAAGGATATATGTAATTGCAAATGTAAATATTGTTTATTGATTGCAGTTGGAACGAAAACGGCACATCGGCAATGACATCGTGAATATAATATTCACAGAAGACTCTGTGCACAACACTTTCAACCCGCAGTGCGTCAAAAGCCACTTCACACGTATCCTTTACTTTACTTAATACTGGTCGTAAAGAGAAAGAGAAAACTCTCTAGAAAAAAATATAAAAACTGAATAACCAAGTATATCAATTGTAAGGTACACAGTAAACTGTTCCGAAATGGAAGTATGTAGCACCCTTAATTTTTTAAATTTTATCATTATTCATGTTATTTCGACCTCTGAGGTCGAAACTCTTATTATATAGATCTTAATATTTATTGAAAATAAATGAGTATGACTTTATTTTCAATTATTATGATTATAGAAATACGTGAAGAAACTTATAAAATTTGCCACACATAAACATGCATGCCGTCGTACAACAAAGAATATAGAACCTCTTGCTTTTTGATTTCTAAATCTATTAAAACAAAATGTTTTTGTTTTGTCCTAAAAACTACTTTTATTCAGATTACTACACACTCCAGCATTAAGACTGACTACTTTTAGATCAACATATTGAATGCGGTCTGTTTTAAAAATTATTTTTCGTGGTAAAGGCAAATCAAAATCATTGCATAGCACAGTCTAGCTGAACTTAGTTCATTTAATCGTCCAATGTGTAAATTTAATGATTCTTCAAAGTTCAAGTAATCGCCCACTGTGTAATTTTGGTGATTCTTCAAAGATCAATCAATATGATGAACATAATTATCTGTTTAACTACCAGTTTGCGTGTGAAACTGAATAGCTATTCCTTTTAATTGTAAATTAATGTCGAGGGTAGCCTCTCTACAAATCGTTTAACTTATGACTAAACTGTTGAAAAATCTATTTCGGTTCGGCGTACAACATGGTCGGTTTGTTGATTGTAAATTTCCATCCAGTTCTTTTGGATCGGCACTTTAAAATTTGTGTACCTTGATAAATTTTCTCAATTTTTTTTTTGTAAACGCGTTAAATATGTATATGTATATATATATATTATGTCACTGGCATGCCATGATACAACTAATAATATTTTTACGATATTTCTATTGCGTAATAGATATATCTTTGAAAACAGATATAACACTACACTACGAATAAATTATAGGCACTTCTAAGAGAAATTCTAAAACCGTTATTTACAATAATATTAATATGTCTACGCAATACATACCAAAAATCTGAAGCTACTAAAACTAAGACGTTTGTCTTAGTTTTTTCGTTTTGCACTTCATTACTCATTCAACTCCCGCCAAGAAAGTACAAAAAAAATGCTCCGTAAAAACAAAGAAAAACAGTAGATAAAATTCGATTCTCTTTCACAAATACACATAATACGAAAGAATATTAAGTTTCACACTTAAATCATTAACATTTTTGGCAATAAATACAAAATTAAAGCTAGGTTATAAAATAAAAATATTTATTTTTTTTCAAATAAAATTTCGACATTTTATCGTCAGTGCTGCCACTGCAATTCACTTTCAATTTTCCCAAGTATATGGGAACTTTTTCTTTTTAATTAACGTGGTTATAATTTATCTAAATATCTTTTTATAATTAATTATATAGCTCAGCTTAAATATAGGCAACTGCGCAAATTTTTTTATTCATGCACACAGATGCTAATGTGCTTTAATTTTTTCAATGCGTGGAATAATTCGTTAGTTGTCGAGATACAACTTTTGAAAATACGTAAAATAGTTTGTTTGATGTTTTATGAACTTTGACAAATGTTTTTGTCTTAACCACTAACTTTATCGAAAAACAAAGGGATATATTTGCACAGAGCCTACTTTCGAATTTTTTTTTTCAAAGTTTTTGCAAACAAATTTTCAACGTTACAGTATTTTACTAATTGATTTTATACATAAATCTACACTACTCGTTCATTCATTCATTCATCACAATGGGTGAAATTTTCGACAGCTGGCAATACAATATCAATTACCCATTTTTCCGTTCATTCTGTCGTTCGCGCATATTCTGTCTTTGTTTAATTTAAAGTTTAATCGTAGATATGAGGGAGATAAATATAATAAATCTATTTATATTATATAGTTGCGGCACTTTTAAAAATAGAACACTTTACAAATGGCAATTCATCAATTGTGAATTTAATAAAACATAATTTAGAACTGGTTAAACAACATATCGAGATGGAGTCGATATCGTAATTGGATTCCTAAAAATGTTCTTCCTTTTATATACTTCGATCAAATAAATATACCAATATACCTACAAAGGAACCAAGAGACCTTTTTAAAGGTCAGAATTCATGACATGTGTATAACAGTACATCATCGAATCAAATGTCGGAAAAGATGAAAGATATACGTTTTATCGAGTTAATTCCAAATTATTGAATTGTCAAAAATGTACATATGAAGAAATTAAATAGAATTGACTCGACTGAACATAGAATCTGATAAAAGGCGGCATCGATCTTTGCGTAATTGCGAAGATCGCCAAATAATCCAAAAAAAATATTTCTTAAGTTACGAAATAGCACTTTTTTGCTTTGGTACAATCTCACAAAAAAATAATATTAAGAAAGAAGATGAGATTTTTCGAAGGTTAAGTGATTACTAAGAAGAGAAACGACGTTTTTTATTTCAATCCGAACAAAACGTCTATGTAAGTTATTCCAATTTCATAAAAGCGACCCCAGAAGTAGGACAGTAATTGACAACAAATGCTAAAAATGTCGAGACTAATTCTATGTCTGTAGATATGTGGGGAATCGTCTTCTAAGTACAGTTTGTACTTTATTTAAAGTTTATAAGAAATTTTGAAAGGTAAATTAATTTTTAGATTTTAAACTTATTAAACGAATGATACTGTTTTATATATTTTTTTAGATATATTTCATGTATATCTATAAAATAAAAATATAAAATAGTTGTCTACACCCCTATTGCGTAGTATTTAAAAATCATAAGCAAATATTTTAATACAAAGATCACTGTTGTTATTTATTCATAAATAAAGAGAGAAAGAGAGTATTAATGGAGAATAGAATAATTTTATAAATAAATACTAACAATGTTTCTTGTTTAATAATAAATAATTAATTTATCAAACAATTATATCATTTTAGGAGGCATAAGTAACAAAAGTTATATATCTTTTAGACTAATGAAATTAATTTATAAAGTCATCTAATTAAATATTTCCGGCACACGACGACTTTCACTTCATTCAAGGGTACTTTTATATGGCTGGTTTACTTTTAAACTCGTCGACTCGGTAAAGGGCTTATGTAAATGTTACCTTTTCATTATAAAGCTGTCTCTGACTTCTCATAAAGTTGACAAGTGAAACGCAAGTAATAAAATTTCTTTAGCACGGTAACAGATATATTTGCTGTGGTGTCGGAAGTGGAAGGCGAGGGCTATAGATTGAGCGTTTATAGTGACGATACAGTACCACCTTTTGGACCATCTCTGCCGTGTCCACCAATCTTCAACGATCCTCAACTCTTCAGGGAATTTTTACTAGTAAGTTGTAATTTCATTTAGCCTCACTGGCAACTAACCGGTGACCCGCTTTTGGACATTTTAAGATAATGAACTGTTTTTTGGCCATTTTATGAGTTACGAGAAAGCGAATGCTGGCACATCACAGCTGTCAACAGTACAATGCAACATTTTAAAAACATTCACGCTAAAGTAATATTATTTGTCTGCATTAGCTAGAACTCCTTTCGTAAGATTTTATTTGTCGTAATTTTCATCATTTGTCGTGTATATCCATTTCACTGAGCAATATATTAGTCTGTGATAAAATAGGTACAAATTAACTATGTACCCAGTTTCGAAATAACTAAATGTAGATTTAGAGTCAAGAATGGATGTCTAAATCGAAAAGAATAACTCTAGTGCACTTTCGATGGACCTTGCACTTGGAATCATTTCTGGATTTAGCTGTTTGTTTAAAATGACGTGTTTTTTGTTTGACCATCCACTGCAACTAATTTCACTTTATACTCACAAGTAACACAACGGATTTATCCTCACCCCTAATAATTGTCTTTTTTCGAATTTATATAACGTTATAAATTAATTTATATAAAGTTATACGTTATACATATAACGTTATAATAATATTTGTATTGAATTTGTTAACTCGAAACTTTTTTTAAAAAAGGTGAAATTGATGAACGGCGAAAAAGCCGCCTTCCAGACGCCCACGTTTGCTTTGAAGAGACAGCGCACGCTCGATACGCTCATTCGAGACATCTACGCGGAACACTGCTCTGATCATAAGGTGGTGAGTCTCATACTAATAGGACACAATGGTTAGCTTTTTTTCTCTAATGCGAAATTTTTGTTTGTTTTTTTTTAATATACGACGCTTTGGTGTCTCATGCTCCTCAGGGCTATGGCAGAATATCAGGGATTTGTGTCCTTGTAGGCAAATCGTATCCTGAGCCTTGACCCTTTTGCATTGCTGCGGCACACAACCCGACATATTTCTTGTTTTTAATTTTATTTCTGGTTTATTTGTTTTGTTTGTTTTAGTATATTTAATCTTGAACAGTTATAATTTGAATGTGTTGTTGGAAATGCAAATAAAGTTTATTATTATTATTAGTTTACATTAAGCACCAAAATTTCTAATAGAGAAAGACTTAGGTAAGGGTACACGCAATGATTTATGTATCATAAGATACCTATTATCCTCATTGCTTGTCTCCTCGTCAATGAACAAGAACACTAATAAAATAGACATTTGGTACATGTTTCATTATCTATCCTATTTTAAATCTAGTGCTTTAGAGTTGGCACGAGGCACAATGAAGTTAGCGATATATGGGGCACATCGTTACGCCCTTGTAGATATCGTAGCCCGTATCGTAGTTAAGATCAGTTGTGTCCTTATGAGATCGACCGATAAGATAAAGATCGTTACCGAGAAGATGTAACTTGGAAAACACAAGTTAGTAATCATCATCATCATAATCAGCTCTTTTACGTCCTCACTGCAGGGGCTCAGGCCTTCCTTATGGATGGTTAAGGGGGATGGGCCATGACCCTCCACGCTGGCCCAATGCGGATTAGAGGGTATTAACGACTGCGAATACAGCCGGGACCAATGGCATAACGTGCCTTCCGAAGCACGGAGTAGCTCGAGATAATAATTTTTGGTCACCCATCCCATGATCGACCCTAGCAAAAGTTGCTTAACGACAACGATCGCGGGCCGCGGCGCTTATCCACTACGCCACCGAGCTACTAGTTAGTAATACTAGCCCGTTGACTGTGCAGCCCGCAGACTGAATAAATGACGACATAAACACGTCAATGTGTACCGTCAACAAAAAAATAATTGTGTATTAATTAAATCGGCTTAACTTCTCATCGGTTAAAGAGTTGGAGTTGATACTTTTAAGTGTAACAGACCATAAACTCATCAAATAATGCATGTCCTAAGCCTATGCTATCACGTCGCGCACTTTCGGATGTATGGTCGGGAGGTGCGGGCGCCGGTGGTGCAGGGGCAGCGCGCACTGAACGTTTCCTACACGTGGGGCAAGCGCTCAAGCTGGATGCAGTACTGAGGGGAGATGCTCCCACTAGTCTCGTTTCTACTGGTAAGTTATTTATCACTTTCAAAGTATTTGTATTGTAAATAGACGATACTGATAGATTATTAGATAATCTCATATTTTTTACAAAGAATATAAACAAGAATACAAATACGTCATATACTTTTAATCCTTACATATCTACATAGGTCATCATCAGCTCTTTTACGTCCCCACTGCTGGGGCTCAAGCCTTCCTTATAGATCGTTAAGGAGGTTGGGCTATGACTCCACACTGGCCCAAAGCCGATTGGAGGGTATTAACGACTGCAAATGCAATCAGGACTAACGGCTTAACGTGCCCTCCGAAGCACGGAGTAGCTTGATATAATAATTTTGTGGACATCCATCCCGCGAGCGACACTTACGAAAGTTGCTTAACAACAACGATCGCGGACCGCGGCGACTACGCCACCGAGCTACCCTATATAGGTATCTAGCAGCAATTCAATATAAAGTACAAAAATATTTATGACTGTCCAAGGATCGGGAGGGTCTAGGCGAGCACCTTGGGAGGGCAGAGTTTGGCGATCAGCTCCACTCCCAGCGACACCAGTATGTGCCGAGCAAATGACTGAAGGCAGACTTCTGCTATCCACTACGTCCAACACTTATATTCTAGAAGGTAGGCATCTGTATTCTGATCCATTGTAAATATTTCTAAAAAATAAATAAAATAGTTCCTTATCCATATTTTTCAAATATTGTTCGAAACCTTACTTACCTCGCCGCTTTTACTTTGTAGTTATATATTTGTAGTTGCCATCATGAGTTGGTTGTTTTGCATACATCAAAGTAAAGAGACTTCAGTGTGTGACCTGCCAGACTTATGCAACGTTTAGAACAATGTGATTACTTGTGTCGTGTTTTTTATTAATAATGGACAATTTCTCGAGCTCTTTTTCAAACTGAACGATCAAGGATTCGAAGTCCCTACATGGCTAAAATAGTTTCTCCATGCCTTTTCGTAATCCATACCGTCTGTCGTCTTTGCAAAAAATGTGACCACGAATTATTTCAAAGCAAATCTAGCAGACACATGTAAAAATGTAATAAAAAGTTTCGTAAATATGTATTCAGACTTTGATCAAACTGGTTGGTTGAAAACCTTGTCACGATATAGGTAATTTACAATATTATTTACCATAATTATTTTACAAAATTTTAAAGCTACGTATAGGGCACTTGTTTTCTATAGAGAGCGGCACGACCCGTGTGGTTCTGCGGTGGGAAGGCTGCGTGCGCGCAGCACGTGTAAGCGAGCGCGCCGGTCTGTTCAGAGTGGGGGCGCGCGCCATCGGCGGTGGATCTACTACAGGGGGCGCTGGAGGCACCGGTCTTTATGCACTGCCTATACAGGTAAATTATATATAATAAAAAATTGGCTATCTGAAAGTCGGACTCGTGCACGAAGGGTTCCGTTCAGGAAACGAGCAATAAAAATCACGTTTGTTGTATGGGAGCCCCATTTAATATTAATTTTATTCTGACTTTTAGTATTTGTTCTTGAAATGGCAACAGAAATACACCATAGGTGAAAATTTCAACTGTCTAACTATCACGGTTCACGAGATACAGCCTTAATAATAGGGTTCCCGTCTTACCCTTTGGGTGCGGAACCCAAAAAACTATAGCCTCACAAAATTTACGGGTTTGCTGCAGACGCAGTTTGATCTCTATTCTCTGGTCTGGTATGGCACTGAAGATATATAGCTTATATGTCCTCGTTGAATGTTATTAGGATTTGTCATAAGGATTATCGTAATCTGACTGTATCTTTATACACAGGAATTGTGCGCGGGTGCTTGGGCAATGAGACCGTTGCAAGATTGCAAACATGCACGACTTCCGCGAACCAAAACTGCACATTATTTTGATATATTAGAATCAGGTAAGCTTGGTTATTAATATCTACAGTAATACATTAAACCTACTTCCACTCAAGAAACTTCAATACTCGATGGTATAGCCATTAACACATTCGGTCTAAGGTTATGGACCATAGTTATAGATTGTGGCAATATCGATAAATCAGGCAGGCAGGCAGAATTGTAGCAGTTCTCCCTTCATTGTTTGTATCCATAGAGAAAACTTAAACTTAATAACTTTGATATTTATTTAGGAGAAAGTGGTAAAACTACACTTGCTGTAGCCATCGGTAGAAGAGTTATGCTAATGATAGAAGAATCCAAGACTGATAGTGAAATGGGATTCGAATATACACATATCAAGGTATTAATATATATTTGTATTTCTTTTATTTTAATGTGAATAATTATTATCAGTTAAAGCAAAGTCTTATTCGTTCTTAACAATCTCACAACCAAAAATGAACAAAATGCAAAAAGATTAATTTATTGAAAATAACAGTAGACGTATGTAATTTTAATGATAATTATTTGATCAAGATTATTTGTCCTATCTATGGTCAGCATCTTTGATTAACGGCCAGTTGCTCAAACATCCATTAAGGTTTAATGACACCTTTAAGCTCTAATGATTGTCAAATTTGTATGGGTAATGTCGCTTTAAACTAATGAAACCTTTGTGCAACCGGCTGTAAGTGATTAATATCTTTATGCCTCAAATCTCGTCCACATTAGATCCGGTAAAAAATTACACAAATCACTCAGTTACCAAGCAACAAATGCATAGCATTTTCCTTTTGTTTCCAAATTAAAACACTCCAAAGCCAATCCAATCTCGTGTTAAATCAAACACTCCAAAGCCAATCCAATCTCGTGTTAAAGGAAATAAATATTTAATACTTAACATAATCATATTTTCATATGTATCAATATTTTCAGGATATTCAATTAAGCGAATCACCTATACTAATAAAATTGATGGATGGAGAAGTCGGAATAATAGTAGTTGGATACAAACATCATTGGGAATTGTTAGAATCTAATACTGGACAAGTAAGTTGAAACTAAAAACAAGTTTCACTTAACCATTATTGGTACATGTGAAACTATTTTCGTAATGGCGTGCAATAAACAGTGTCTTTTGAGACTATACGCAGCGTCGCAACATTACATTCGCCATGTAAATCGAAGTAAAATAAGTTGCGTGAAACTAGTTTCATCGCATCGCACGTAACTCCTTTAATGTCGTGAAACTAATGCTTGCATAAACGTACTTTAACTCGTGTCTATAGTCGAGCAAAGTAATTACTTGAGAAAATGTAAGGAAATATTTTTTACTAATAGATATGAATTTGAATAAACCAAAAACACTTTAATAATAGTATTTTAACTACTTACTTAATCTAAATTCTAGTTTAGCACTGCCTAGTATTCATTTAATTTAATTAATTAATTCGTTAGGTATCAACAATCTTACCGATTGCATAACCTTGCCTGGTAACGACTTTAAAGAAAACCAAAATCAAAGCTTATAATATTCACGCTATTACTTATAGTAATTCCAGATTATGATTTTTCTTCATTCCGTGGTTTCTAAACATTACTAACTCTCAGGCTATAAAGCGAGCGGAAAACTCTGAAGACAGCGGTCCACGAAGAGGAACATTAGTCAATGCATTAAGAATCGGCGATGAAAGGGATGGACAAATAGTATTATGTTATAACCGTGAGTGTCAACTGTCTACCAACTATACTTATTTGAATACCCAAGTCATACCAGTGCCAATATTTGAAAGCATAAAAGACATAATAAATTTGTAGGATCCTGGAAAAGGAAAAAAATACAGGCAATTTTTTAAAAACTATTAATTATAAAATCTAATCTAGTATAATAACCAATAAATGTTTACATTACAGACACATGCCACTTCGAAAGAATAACAAGTAAAGGATTGGAGAGCGATGGAGAATATGATTTTCATTGGACAACGGTGCCGGCCGCAGTGGGTGAGTATTTAGGGAGTTTCTAACCATATATTAGAGGTTAGCGATATAAATTTACTATTTTAACGCATTGGTCAATTTCAATTAAATAAAATCTCCGTGGTGTAACTCCTTTGTAGTTTGAATAAATTATAACATTTTTAAAATGGACCGCATATATCTGTTTTCCTAATCAGGAATTTGATTCGGTGATCCGAACGCGCGTACAGCGATACGCATAAGTTCGTTTTATTTTCAATTGAGAAAAAACCTGACGTTTTATTATAAATACTATGACTGGCAGTTTATCGGAAGATTATCAGACACATTCTCAATCAAAACATCTCAGTCTAGCGACTATGGAGGCACGAAAACAAATGTAATAAAATCTATTATGAATTGAATATGTGCGCATATATAATAAAATCTTTACTTTATAGTTTGTGCGTTCCCATACATAATGGCATTCGCGGAAGACTTGTTGGAAATTAGGCTGGTTGCTAACGGATCGCTGGTGCACGCCGCCTGTATACCCGGACTGAAATTGCTTTGTGGCAGGAGGGTAAGATAAATTAAAAAAACTATGCTAAAGATCTACATGCCTTGGTAACTACTGTTATAAATTTGTTATAATAATATTTGGCCGTTTGGATGGATTGCCTGAATACTGATAAAATTACGCTAACTACTAGCGAAAGTAACAAGAAATTCGTCAGTACTGTTGAAAAGGTTTGCAAAAAGTTATGTGTCCAGTCCCATCTCAAAAAAATATATTCCATTTTGTTCTCAATCAATCAATTTTAAGTTTAGGCTTAAGACATTCGTCGTTCTATTAATTTCCAATGAAGTCTATCTCTATCACCATACCTACCAATATTTATAGCTGATTATTTTTTAAATAAGCAGTAATAAAAATATTTCAAATTACTAATCTTACATCTATATCTATTGTTTCGTTCACAGGATATATTCTATGTGGCATGCGCACCCGAGTACGTGCCGCTGAGTCGCGAAATAGACCCTAGTTTCATGCACGACTACGAATTACTGGCAAGACAGATCAACAACAAGGGAACACCATACTCGCTAGACGAAGACGATAACGATAACAGGTTAGATACATTTCAACAATACATGTACAAACTCAAAGTGGACATAGAAATCTAAATCCATTAATCCAGTATTGAAGCAAAACCATCATATTTAATTCATAGGTATAAAGGGAATATGGTTCTAAAAAACTGCAAATGCAGTCGGGAACAGCTGGTGGCAACCCTGAGTGAATAAAATAGATAGCGAATCCCAAATTAACTATAGTTCTATTTAATTACATTAGGTACATACACTCCATCAGTATGAAAGCATATTCATACGTAGACCAAGGAATACAGAATTTTATTCTCTATTCTTCACTATATTATCTATTCTTTTATAAGTCACTGCCAAAAAAAATTGCCATTCAGTTTCAAAAAAAATAAATAGCCTTTCAGTCTGTCTATAAGTCGGTTGTGATCTACAGGGGCGACAACTGTACTACTAATAATCGTACGTCGGAAAACAACTCTGAATCAAGTCGAAGTAGCTCGATATCTTCAGAGCAGGAAAACATACGACCACCATTACAAAGAATGGCTCCTATATCACCGCCAAGCTCGCCTCAAGGTAAACTATGGCAACTTTTAAACTGACATTTTTAATTTTATTTTCATTTTCTTTGTTTATATTTTATCGAATCTAAATTTGATACTTTGTCATTAGCTTGATTTATTAACATGTGACTAGCCAATCTTATGAAATAATCACGATTTTCAATGATTACCTTGCTGAATCTATTTTTATTACTTAATAATGTATCTTGCGTTATATATAACTTCGTAAAAATCTGTATCGCAGTACTGCCCGAAAACAGCGGGCGTTGCGTGCGAATCTACAAGATCCCGCAGAGCAATCTTAGCGCTGGAGCATATCAGAGACAGTCTGTATCTGCAGACCAAGTCGTAACTTCATATTTCTCAGACAGGTAAAGCATTGAAATATAAGTAACCAATTGTGGAGCATTTTTAATTCATTATGCAACAGATGAATGAACTTGTATATAAAGTGATCCTAAACTGTTGAAAATATTTTGTTACCACAAAAGTTTGGCAGTATAAAAGTAGTCATTCATCTTTTAAACGTGATGTCCCACAGGGCAGCGTACTTGGTCCTACACTATTTACATTATGTGTAGATCATACATGAATGATAGTCATCATGATATTGTGTGTATTTTTGCCATTGTTAATTACGGCCCTTTTAATGATATTGGGATTATTTTGCTACATACTGCTTTGATATGAAACTTTACATTAGTTAAAACTCTCCTCAGCCTTTATATTCTTGTAAGTATATACATCTCAGCTAATAATTCTTAATTATAGACCAAACAGCATCAGACAGAGACTTGCAGAACTGAGATTGGACAGCAAATCAAGGGGTGGAGGTGAAGACGAAACTCTCTAAAGCGTCCTATAACCATAGTTAGGTATCGAATACGGAACCAGGTGCACAATTTTATGTAATTTGTATGATACACTATATTCGACGTTGTTAAATATTTGGAGTATACCAGACAGTAAACTTAGTATGTACGTACTGCTATAGTTAGACAAAGTTTTAAGTAGAACGTTCATGTAGATAAGTAGTGGAATTTGAAATAGTGCGATTGAAATTGTTGTGATACATGGGTGATGCGTAACAGACATAATGTAATTATGTATTTAATAAATTATCAAATAAATAAATAGCTAAAAAGTTTATATTATTGAATGGAAAATACTTAGTTAATTAGTAAATATTTTCATAAAAACTCTCAAAAAAAATTGTATAATAGCAATGTTAATTTCAAAGTTATTGAATTTGAATACCTACCAATGAAAACAGTTATTGAATAGCATTGCACAAAAAATTATATGCTCAAATTTAATATCGCCATTATATAGTAGATTGATAAAATTTATATGAAACCAATGGTGTGTCGTAAAAAGAAAATTTGAAATTAGCTTTCAGCACCAATTAGAACAGTATTGGTTGGAATACGCATTTTAATTTTATATGGAGGCTTTAAAAGTTTCCTCTGATTTATAGGATATAAAATAACCTAGTGTAGTCAAGGCATAACTGCGTCATGTAAGACAAAAAGTGATGTATAATAGATCTTTATAGTGGAAAAATATTATCTATTCATCTTAAATGTCTACTCGACAACAGAAAAGAAGTGCCATCCAAATATTTGGTTACCTTTTTAGATTTTAATAATATTATAAAACTGTAATATTTTGCGATGCAAGAGAATTGAAATCTTATTTAAGTGTTAATACAATCTTATCTTCAATGTAAATAAAATGCATTATATTAGTATTTAATGATATTATTTATTACTACTATATACACTAGAAATATTATGTAATAAATTATCATAATTCATTGTAGATTAGTTGGCAGTGTTTCAGTGTTGTACAATGGACAATGTTAACTCACCAAAGATTAAAAGAACCAAACAAACTGATAGATTTAAGATAATAAATAAATAAAATTATGTATTTCATAATCATATTCAGGTATATGTGTACTTTCATGTTAGGCCGCGTTCCCACTATCTCATAACGGTTAATTTATAGTTAGACGATATTCAACTTTCCCATTATAATTAATGTTTGTCGTCATTGTATTGTGGCTATTTTTTAATATTGAACGACATCAACGACATTTTGTGTATTGGTCGTTTGCTATTGCTACAAAGTTTGCGAAAACGACGAGACGATGTTTTTTTCCGACACACGATTTGCCGTTGACGTCTAAAAGCTTTTTGTATATCATGATAGCCGTTTACTATATTGACAATTTGTCGTCAATCAAGAAAAACAGTCGTGGACGACAGGTAATCGCGCCTTCCTAGATTAAAACACATCAATATTTAATAACGCCAAACGATAGCCTAAAATATACTAGACAAATTTAACAAAACTGACAAATTTTGTTTTGTATATATAAAAAAACAGTTTTGTATACAAAACTGGCAAATTTCTCGCCGTAAGTACAAGCAACGACTCTAATTGCACGATTATCTGTCGTCAGAAAATGGGAATGCGCCCTTATAATTAAAATAGCACAGAGTAATTACGAGTGTCCACATGTTAAGCTTAATAATTTTACAGTACAGATTCTTATATTTAATTCATAATATTTAAGGTGGATGTTAATTAAATTGCGAGATTGGGGCACTTCCGATTGCTAATGAACTTGGTCTATCAATATTGGTGAAATGAATGTTTGTAAATATGTTTGAAAACCAAAGGAATTTAAAATTAACGTTTGAAAGATAAAATACCTCCAAATAAAGAGTTGTTGTTTAATTATAAAAGAATAATTACAAAATAAATTTATAAATGTGCTTATTTGTGTGAATGATGGTAACGTAAATAGGCCTACCATTAAATAGTTAAGTTATATTTCATAACCATCTCCAAAAAAATGTGATAAAATCAAACAAATTAAAAAGATACATTTAAAATAAAAGATATACATATTAAAGAGATAAAAATACGATATATTATGTATGTAGTGATACAATTCTTATAACAATATTCAGAGTAAAGTGTATTGAATATAAAAATACAGCAAGTTCACAAACAGAAATATACAAAATAGATTAATATACTCTGTTATATTCTCTGAAGTTTAAATAAATGTCTGTTCAATGTTTTGTGTCTTATTTATAAAATATATTTGCACAACAGTCTTAATACTACAAATGCTTAACTATAAAAACTTTGGCTGTTGTTTTAACGCAGTGATGTCCAAAAACTTTGGCATCTCAATTGCTGGACCTGGTTGCGATGGAAACATGTTACCACCTATAACATAAATGACAGTAAAGATTAATAAGATTTTTTTAGTCTTATATTGTTGATACAATACAAGTCTAATATGTTTACACCAAAGTGTAATGATATATCTTACCTTGTAAAATTTTATGTCTTTCCATGTAATTTCTAGTCGCGAAAGACATGTCAATAGGCATCACAGTGGGTTTAGATGATGGTATTTGGTATAAAGGAGGAGTGTTAATCTTTAAATACTTTGCAGCTAGTTGATTCATCTTTAGGCTTGTATCAGTAGTTGCGTTATATATATGAGGCTGTTGAATACCAAGTGGATCATCACCAAATTTTACTCTAAAATAAGAATTACATTTAATCAGTTTTAAATATCTAAAATTTAAATTTAATTTAATTTAAAGGCAGACAGGTAGACATTTCTACTAGCTAAAACTTTTACAGTGCTACTCATAAACAAGATTATAAATTCTATTTAGTCCGTCAGTCAGTTAATAAAAAAATATTAGATACATATTCTTTTTTACATCAATTTAACAAGAAATTGCTTAGATAACAGGCATTGAGGAGTGGGGGCTTGCTACGTCACAGTTTTGTAGAAAATTTACCAAAGCATGACGTCCCACGACATTTTAACTCCATGAATCGCCGTAATTTAATGATTACGAAAAAAAAACGTATTTAATGTTTTTCAACAATCTATCTGACGGAAAACAAACGAAAATTAGTCATCATCCCTATGGAACATCCACAAATACAACAGGCTTTGCTACCTGTTGTCACAAACCGCATTTTTGCAGTCATGTCAGATGCATTTTTGCTATTGTTATGTCTGTTTCGAGCGTGCAAAAATCATATGTACTGATGCTGCTGACTATGATGCCTGGCATGTGGAGATATGCCTTTAAAGCAGCAACAATGTACAATGTAGTGCAAGATAAATGAATCAGACTGACTATTACATAGTAATATTTAATGAAAATTATATGCCTTGCTGCTGTAGTTTATGCTAGAAAAGTTTACCTTTTGGTCACACTGACATTTGTCTTGTCAATTTGCATTTGAACACACTGTTGTCGCAAATTCCTATACATTGCACTAGCCGATGATGGCATATCTGAGTCTTGTAGCATTCCATTAACATGTGTCTGAAACGATTAATATTTTTTACAAATCTATACTAATATTATAAAAAAGGAAAGATTTGATTGTTTGCAACAAACAAGCTTCCAAACTACTGAACCTATTTTAAAAATTCTTTCACCTTTGGGAAGCTAAATCATAAGCAGTGAACATAGCATATACGTATATATATACACACATATATATAAAAGGGATGAATGAAAATAGGAGTGGAAGTTAATAGAGGGAATTAAAATGTTGCCATAGTACCCATTGTTTAGTATTCAATTTGTCATTGTAATTATATATGTGTCACAATATGAATAGATATCCAAATAAACAGTTTCCTGGGGATCAAGCGGGAGAAGCAACTGGCGAAAAGCTAATAAAAAACAAATAATTATTACATTAGATCTAACTAAAAAATAAATATACATACCATAACTTTATTGTAATAAGTCCAACCAACATTGGAGTTGTCTTCACCACCAGAATCAGAACTGAAATATATTTCCAAATATTAATAAATGCTGAATCAAACATTATATTACAAAGCAATACATATATTTAGATGGTGCAACTCACTCACTATAATCTCTAACATCCAAATAGAGACTCTGTTCTGGTGATATTTGAGGTGTGATAGCATTATCTATTTCAACATTGTAAAGACTGAGTTCGTTCAGTGTCTTGTCATCATTGACATTTTCATTCAAACATAACTGACCTTTGTCACTAGCCTTTTGTACCTGTGATTTTGTGCAATCTAAATTTTGTTGAGAATTTGCTTTGGAAATAGGTGTTATCCCATCCAAGAAATTCAAATTGCCTTGTTGACTTTTACTTACAACTTCCTTTATGCTGATTTGTGATCTGTTGCATTGAATGTGCCCACTTTCATTAGTTTGGGTAACAATCTCTTTATTTATCACAGTGGAAGTCCTCACCATCTCAAAGCTAGTCATAACACCAATAGATATTTTCTGTTGTTCACTACCAACAGCTTCGAGAGCCCCTTGCTCAGTCACATAGTTTTGTACAGGTCTATTTACACTAGTAGCAGATATAAACTTGTCTACTTTCTCCTGAAGCAGCTGAAGTTGTTCATTTTGGAGTTTAATTATTTTGAAGAGATCTGCAACTGTAGGTTCTCTTTTCTCCTTGACAATAATATTTTGCCTATCAATTTCCAATGTATCACAGTCTTTGCTTTGCTCATATTTTTTTAGCATCCAAGTCTTTTTATCTACAATTTCAGGATGTGCGTCTTCTTTTTGACAGTGACAAAAATGAGATTGATGCTCAACAGGAACACAATTATTACAGTGGTAACTATTATGCAAAGATTGTAATCTGTGACCATGTAAATTACATGAGCAGTTCAAGGTTTGGATATGTTCTTTAGAATTGTTTGTTATTGTTTGATTATGCTGATTAAGTTTACATGATGCATTTTCAATCAATTTAATACAATGGTGGCATCGACATTCATTTGGAATATCAGTTTTTACATTTTGCAGTTGCATATATGTATTATTTGCATTTGCTGCAGACAATCTTGCTATCTCTGCTTGTTTTTCTAAAGCAACATTTTCCTTGTTCAAACTTAATTTACCCATTTGATTTTGCAAGGAATATACTTTAGGTGAATTTAATTCCTTTAAATTATCACGCCTTATAAAGAAATTATTAGATCTAATATTATTTGCAGACTGCTCAAGTGCACTTGTATTCTCAATTGAAGACAAAACTGTTTGTGGTGATTTTATTGCAGCATTTGTAAATGTTTTTATGTCACTTCTATGAATCTGTTCTCCTTCGCATGAAAACACTTGCTTAGTATGATATGGTGGTTTTCTTGGTACATGGGTAGATCCATCTAACATACTTAAATCTAAATCATTAGATGGCATACAGCGGGAACTAGAATCGTCTATAAGAGTCTTTTTCATTGTAGGATATGGTGAGTTATTACTATTTTCAAACCTATGCACAGGATCTGAGCTATATGGAAGCAATCTCTGATAACCCTCAAATAAAACAGGTCTACTAACTACCACTTGTTTATCAATAAACGGTCGTGGGGAATGGCATTCTAAATCACCCATTGTATTGCTAAAAACCCGTACAGGAGACTCAAAGCGCACTTTCTTCATGGAGCACAATATTATATGAGTGTTTATTGTTGTAAATGTTATTGCTTCTGTACATTCGAAGTTTCTACAAGCAATTGTATAATGTTGCCTTCTGTCTTCTTTTATTAATGGCCAATGTCTTTTTCTTCTTCTCTTATTAATGGCCTATTTGCGCATTTCGCACAATGCAACCAATGTCAATTTAATAAATTAATTTCTACATATAAAACGAAATGAATAAAAAATCTGTAAGGATTATGTTCAAAATAACTACCTGCTAACATTTCAAAAAGCGACTTGACAGAACCACAGAATACAAACACAGTCATAGATATTTTTTTGGTTCAATTTTCCCATTGCTACGGGAATGGGGAAACAGTCATAGATAATACACACTGGACCACGAATGTCAAATTCGTGCCCTAAACCCCAGAGTCACAAGGAATAGAATTAATATACTTGGCCCCGGAGTCGATCAAGTAGACTTGTCAAGTCTACGTGATTGAAGCAAAATTGACCGTTTACCGCGTTGACTTGACGCTACCCATGTATATAGTAGTACCGCGTTGACCTGACGCTACCCATCAAGACATTTTACGGAAAACATTATGAACAGCCAGTATGGAAAATACCAAGATCTGTTTTTAGGAACCATGTCATCGATTTTAGTGAAAAGAAATAAATTATACGTTAAAATGCAGTTTTACAATATAATAAAATCTATTTCTCAATTTGGAAATCGATCTCGGATATATTGAAAAATTAATTTTTTTATTATTTTTACTATTATTATTTGTACATAGATACCAATTATATAGGTCTTAAGAAATTCATGTTACTATGTAACATTAAGTATAAAATTAACAAATTAACTTGTTTTTAATCACATGATATCTTTTACTTTATTTTAGTACCAAGATGTTAGAAATGTCAACCATTTTTTCATTACAACACTCGATTCGTTTAGATACGTAAAATGGTTTCTATCTTTGCTAGTTTTAATTTACAAAAAGTCTTGGTCAATTCCCAACCAGAGAAGTAGTTATTTACACCCTGTATTCATACAACTCACTCAAGGCGTCAAGTCACCTATCGAGTAAAACCATCAATGAAGAAGTATTTTAAGAAAAAAAAAGAAAGCACCTCACTGGATGCCAACTCTAGCAAAAGTTGATTTTTGCACGAAACACATGGACCAATGACAGTCATTTCCGTTCGTTTTAACAAACATTTTGAGAAATGAAAATTTGATATTTGCAAAGTTTTAAATTAAGATATCAATACAAATACAAAAAGTACAAATAGAATATGAGTTGTTTATTGAGTTTTGAAAATTAATTTCCTTACATACGTAAAAGAAAACCGGAAGTGTTGTCATGGAGATACCAAGAAAGGAACTTAGCGACATCTCGTTTGATTTCGGAAACTAATGTTTTTATTTTTAATACTTCCTCATAAGTAAAATCACCAAAAAAAAAACGTAAGACTTGTCTAGTCGACTTGATCGTCTCCGGGATCCATAGTCCCGTAAATTGCTAATGTGCTGGAACCTTCCCCGCGTAACGTAATATGAAAATAGAAAGTCTAGATAGCACAAAAGGCAAGAGATAAATTATTTATTAAAATGTTTATGACTCAATATGTATCGGTTTTTCTATATACCGTCACATCCCTAGATAGATGACAAGTGTCAATTGTCAAATTGGGCTTCTATTTTGAGAAACTTTTGGTTAATTTAGAAGGTTCCTAAGTTTTTGAAATCGATAGTTTTTGCTCGCATTATCGTCATAATAGATTATACGTAAGACCAGTGTTACATTTAAAACATTAAAATGAATAAATGTTTTCTTAAGATATGGAATCCTACTATAAATATTGTTCGACAAAGAGGATATAAGGCACCTGGTGGAATAAAATATCCTGGAGGTATTGTGTATTACCCGAGGTACGTAAGTCAGGCCAATATGTGTATTCAAGTATCATCTTCATCAACCCTTTTACGTTCGGAACTCGGGCTTTCCTTATAGATGGATAAAGAGAATGGGCCATGATCCTCCACGCTAGTCCAATGCCGATTGGATTATTAACGACTGCAAATGCAGCCGGGACCAACGAGTTAACATCTTAAGTGAAGCATGGAGTGGCTTGAGATAATAATGTTTTGGTCACCCGAGATCGTCCCTTGTGACAGTTGCTTAACAACAACGATCACGGACCATGGCGCTTTTCTACTAAGCGACTGAGCTACTCTATATTATTATCATATATTCAAGTAGTTCCAGCAAATATTTTAAGACAGCACAGATAAGCCCATATATATTAAGACAGCTTGTTAAAAGGATAAGACAACATGCAATAAAAGTATAATAATGCAAGTCTGTCTGGCCATAAAAATGATTGTAATGAACTCATATATTAGAGATTTTAAAGACAAAGCTAAATAATGATGTTTTGTTCACAAGAAGCTGGTTACCAAGTGACTCGAATATAACAATTTTCCTATAATAAATGATAATAATTTACAAATTTATTGCAAGGATTTTTGTTAATTATAAATAAAATTTTAGTTTTCATGACATATACTTAAATAAGAGCTTATATAAGCATTCAATATGTTATAGGAATCCAGATTATAAAGAGCCAGACTATACACCCTCAAAACTATTTAGAGTTGAAAGAATAAAATCAACTAAACATTATCCTTCATGGCAAAAGAAAATACTAGAAGAATTCAAAATTCATGAGGAAGTAAGTATAAGCTGTTTAGTAAGTAGGAAGTGTATCTACTTGCCTTAAATTATTGTTTGTTTATTTATTGACCATTTCAATTGCCATTTTATATAGGTAAAAGTTACTATAGTGAAAAATATACCAGAAAATAATATGAGACTTTGGAAAGTAAAGCATCTAATAAAAGTGACTCCAATCACATTTCCATATGGAGAACCCAGTACAGATGACATTAATTACACCATATTAAAAGAGAATGGCCAGTGTTTAGTGAAGAAAAGCCTGGAACCGCAACCAAAACAAATTGAAGCTTTAGAGGCATTTCAAAGTAATGATAAAAAAATGGATTCCACTACTATAAAGAAAGACTCAAGGTACAAATGGAATAATCCTTATGGAGGTGGTTTTTAGTATAACTTTAGAAAAGAAATGTAGTCTTAATTATGGTATGTAATGATAAATAAATGAAATATTTCAATCAAAACTTTTTTATTTAAATATATTTCTAAAATAGTAAACTTAACTTTAGTACTTAACAGTAATGAATTCAATCATCAATTTTTGGTTTGTTCCTTTTAAATAATAAATAGTTGAAATATTCAGGAGTTTTGAAGTAGTTTTCTAATATGATTGCATGTTTATTTCCTAGGGAAAATCTTGCATCTCCCCATGAAACAACAAAGGTTGGATTTAACCTTTTGAAATCATTTAAATGAAATTTATGTTTTTTTATTTGATTATAAACATGGCCTCCGAAAATAGCCAAATAGTTATCACCATCTTGGTATAAACGAAGCACATACTTTGACAATAATATTTTAATTCCTGCATGAAATCCAACAAATGCTGCCAAGTATACAAAACATTCAAACCCACTGTTTGCAACAACTATATCGTCTCCAAGAATAACAGGATTATTTACTGTATTAATATCAAATACAAAGGCAGCATAATACAATCCTCCGAAGCCAACAGTTGTAGTTGAAAATGTTAAATATACTGATAGATAGTTTAACCATCTTTCCATAGGAGCCTTATAAATTAATTCCCAATGTTTAGGGACATTGTCTTTTTCTCGCCATCGTCGTTCCGTTTCTATAAACTTTACAGGGTGTTGAGAAATATACCTTGCAGCAATTATTTTTGTAACATTCGGTCGAAGTATCGACCGCGTCAAATAAAGGAAATTCATGTATCTGGGTAACCTCACACCATATAACAAAATATAACTTAAAATTCTACGGTGTGTATATAATACCTGACTAGGTATCTTTTATGGAACTGATTTTAATTTTAAATATTAGAATCTAAAACTCGCGAATATTTTTTTAGGTTAATTAAGTTACAGTTAGCCAATCGTCGCTAGGGCTGAGCGATACGTCGGAAATACCGATACGTAACGAATATTCCCAAAAAATATCGATATTGAAGAAATATTGATTTTGAAAAATACCAACCTATCGAAACCTAATATCGAATGAAGTCAAAGAGTTAATAAGTCAGTTGATCCCAATAACTGGTCTTCAAAAATGTGACATTTGTGAAACTAAACAGCATTCCCCATCGCATTCAGGAATTATTCTGTACCCTTGATTTTTGTTGTGAAGTTTGATGTACATAGATTTCTATCTTCGTATTCAGAAAAGGCAACGTCATTTCCACTTTCGACTCAAAAGTGAATTTAATTTTCGGGTGAATTAAATTAATATGTTGTAGTAGAAGATCTATCTCTCGTTCACCGTCTTTGATGATACAGAATATTTCTTCCACATGCCTCTTCCAAAGCCGTATGATGAATGGCCTTAAATTCAGCACACCGGGGCTACTGGACTTTCCATGGTGACACCGACTATTTGGAGGTAGTATTGACCTTGGAAAAGGAAGTAGTTCCCTTCTAAGCAGTTCGTGAGGAGATCAATATAATTGAGAGGCATCTATCCATCTATCAGAATTTCGTTCACCACTTCTAGACACTCTCTAATGAGGAAGTATTTAAGAAAAAGAAAGATAGCACTTAAAAAGCACCTCTACTAGATGGCGACTCTAGCAAAAGTTGATTTTTGCAGGAAACGAGTAGACGAAAGATAGTCATTTCCGTTCCTTTAAACTAACATATTAAAAAACTGAAATTTGCAAAGTTCGAAACTTACATATCAATACAAATACGAAATTTACAAATAGAATATGGGTGTTTATTGAGTTTTGAAAATTAATTTACTTTTATACATGAAAGAAAACTGAAAGGGTTGTCATGGAGAAAACAAGAAAGCGCTTAAGTGACATCTAGTTTGATTTCGGGAACTAATCCTTTTTTTTTAAATACTTCCTCATTGGAACATTAGTGAAAAATGACTCAACGTCAAACTCCGCATAACTTCACCTGGTTCTAATGTGAGGTTCTTTATGATCCCCACGGCTGTAGTACTTAGGCGGCATGTCTGGCCAAATCGTAAGTAGGAGAAGAAACTTGACTCACGATTGGCAGCATAGGCACATCTGGCTTGTGCACTTTCGGTAGGCCATACATTTTCGGTGGTTGGTGTGGTTTCGATCTGTGCAGATTCTCGTACTCATCTTCCGTGAACAGGTCCTAGTCCTTCTGAATGAAAGTCCTTATTGTTCGGGTTACTCTGGCCATGGGGTTGTAAGAAACAGGCTTTTTACTGTTTTTATCTTATAAAAATTTCCCATTCTTTGATCGTAACCAGAAGTGTTCATCACTACGGTGGCGTTAACTAAAATATCCTTATTTTCCCGGAAGCTTTTTAACGCTTGACGCTCTTCCATAGTTTATACTTGTATTCGAGGTCGGAAGTTTCGATTTTCGTAATATTACCGCGTCGACCTATATGAGCGTATCTGCTTCACTAGGAAGTATTTTGTTACGTACGATCGTTTCTTCAAACTACTTGTTATATTTTCAAATGGAAATAGTCTTGGAGTTAGTACGAAATTTAAAGTTACGAAGACGATTGTTTAAAAGTGAAGTTTTCTACGGCTATAGGCCTTTACTTTAAGATCATATGGGCGCTTGTGCACTACACTGAATTTTCATGTCGGGTGGTCCGATTTTTTCAGGTCCGATATGTCAGGCCATATGTAGGTAATGCGCGCTTGTGCACTGTCAGGAATTTTACCGTCCGGAATTTTACTTTTCTCTATTCCGGACCGGTTTTTTCAGGTCCGTGATGGCGGCAATGAAAAACGTATTTACGCTTGTGCACTGCTGTGTCCGAGATCCGGAAAATTCATAAGGAATAGGCTTGGGAAAAAATAATCGATTTGAATCCATATTTATTTCGGCGATATTGTTAATTTCCAATAATCTTATAATCGATATTGTATATTTATTGTTGATTATAAAATGCTATATTTTATATGATGATTTAATATAGTTGGTATATATCACTGCATATGCTTTGGCAAACTCGGTATAGTTCTAATTTGATCAGCGTATGGTTCTAGTATCGATACTTAGCTAGATTTTAGAATCGTATTAAAAGTATCGATAGCTTAAGGTAAGATAAATAAGTGTTGTTACGCTTAGACACCTAAACAACTGAACTCATCTAAATGGAAATTAATATAGTAAATAGACTTAACTTTAAGAAAGGACATAGGCTACATTTTATCGCGAAAAATAGGGGATGAAAGTTTGCCTGGAAATTTGTCATTATCAAATTTTTTTAGACAATTGATAAATATAGATAATTTGACAACAGAAGTAATAATAAAGAATAAACAGAAGATTAACAAAAGTAATTAAGTGACACTCAATGTCTTTTTCGCATTTAATAAAATTTTAAATGTATGTTTGTGTCATTAATAAATTTAAAAAAAAAATAAGTGTTCTAAGGGAATAATATTTCTGCTCAAAGAAACTACAAACGAAAAATATATAAAACTACAAACGTATAAAATTATGCCTATATATAATACAGTCAACTGACCTCGTAAAGTTCATTTAGCATAATAATACTCCGCTAACACGGCACTAATTTCGATTTGTTTACGAAATGGCGCCACCGATTGGTCTATCTCTGTAATCGCTGAAAGTTGTTTTTACAAAAGTTCGGAAAAAAAATAGCACGTTTAAAAATTTAAACATCAAGTACTAGACCATTATCAGTAATTTTATTCTAATGTCACAGATATTTTTAGCTATTGTATGTGAATAATGCGGTATAAGTTTTTACATCTGATAGTAGTCATCCGATAGTAGTAAAAAAAATGCTTTCGTCTTGCCATAATTTATTATGGTTTATGTAAAACGATCAGATCATTATTTAAGTACCTTTCTACGTCTTCGAACGGAATTACCAACGTTCCAAAAATCTCATCGTACCTAGCATAGGTGACGTGTAGCTTCAAAGAGAGCTGCCCTACACTGCGCCGCTCCGATCAGGAAAAAAACGGACAAGTGCACAAGCTACTCATCCGAGTTTTTCATGTCATTCCGGACCGGAAAAAATCGGACCGCCGGTCCTGAAAATTCAGTGTAGTGCACAAGCGCCCTATTTCAGTATTCTGTTCACTGAAACGTGCGAAATATTAGTCTGAAGAGCAAGTTGCTTCGGAATGCGACATGGATTTCGGCGAAGTCGCTCTTGGATGATTTTGATGTTCACAGGCGTCCTGAGAAAGCGTGGCCGACCACTCCTTTGGCGATTTTGCAGAGAACTGGTATCCTTGTACCGCTGTATTGTGTTTTAGATGAAATTACGGCTTACAGGAAAACTTTTAGCTTGCGGAAAATCTGCATCGGTTTTTTTCCCGCCTTAAATAGCGAAATGACAGTTGCATGTAATTGTTTCATTCCCTCCATCACAAGAAAATATAGGGTATGTTCCGATATACACTTCGACCACTGAACCAGTATGACGTCAATTTAGTATACTGGAAGCCCGTTCCTTTATAGCAATGAGTTTAATAACTAGAGAAGCAATCCCATACAACAGACGCGCCAAAAAGCTCCGAATAACTCATCGCCGTCGTTATTCTGTCACACAACCGATACCTGTACGACTCGTCATCGAATTTCATCATTTATCGCCAAAAAGCGTAGCACTTTTCCGAAATCAGGACGTAACTTTGCAAATAATATTTATACTATATATTATAAATAGATTTATTATATTTGTCTCCCTCATATCTACGATTAAACTTTAAATTAAACAAAGACAGAATATGTGCGAACGACAGAATGAACGGAAAAATGGGTAATTGATATTGTATTGCCAGCTGTCGAAAATTTCACCCATTGTGATGAATGAATGAGTAGTGTAGATATACTGGGTGTTAGGGGAACGCTTCCGAATACGAAAACCAGTGATAGAGTAAGTGATTCTGGATACATTGCAATGAAAAAATTATTACTTTATTTTTCAAAAAAAATATGTTATTTTTATTTTTTTTTCATTTTTAGCGATGTAAAATAAGTTAAGTATTACTATTTTTATCAATAAATTTGTCTATTTATTGATTTTCCATAAAAACGCAATGTAATTAAAACTCGAAAAAATCAGCTGATCGGCGGTAGACGACCCCGAGAGTTCAATAACCTTTGGTACGTTCAAAGGGCACTTTCATTCTCTTTCCTTCACCACTGGTAGAATGAAAAGAGACAGAAGATACGAGTGAGAAACTTCAGCGACATCTAGCGACGAAAAGCTCTTAGTTCTCTACGTTGCTAGTTTAGGTACCCATTTTCCTGTGTTTTATTAAGAAAATGCAATGAAAACGCAATTACTAAAAGTAGTTTTAAAACGGCGTTTTGTTATTTTTTCAAATTGTTATTTATTGATGATCATTCCCTTTCACGCAATAACAATAAGTAAAAACGAGAGCGAAGATACTGCAGGCCAAGCTCGTAAACTTCTAGATACATCTAGCGGCAAATCGCGGCGGTTTTGATGATATAGCGAATGAGAATGATAGATGCAGCGCCATCTAGTAGTGTAAAGCAAAATCAATCGGTAGTGTTTCCGTGTTAAGGGGTGCCACTTTTTAATGAGTAAATATCGTTTTTGAATAACCTACTAGATAAAATGCATGTTCTTCTGGAAAACATTTGTTTCGACTAAACATTTCAAAACGGTTTAGTAACTCTAGTATTTACAAAATTTTTATCTTTGTAAATTTTTAAAAATAAAACTTACATTACATGATTTTGATAAGTGCACTTTTTTATTT